GCCCGGTGCCAGGCATCACATCCCTGGGTACCCGGAGCTGCCCACCTCCCCAAGCTCACCTACGGCAGGTGATCTCCTCCTGTCTGCTGAGGTAAGCCTTCAGTTCTGACATCCGCTGGGCGGCCTCTTCTGACTCAGAAATGAAGTCAGGTCTCCAGGTGTCTGGCACAGAGCTGACCAGCACAGACACCCCAACAATGAGGCTAGAGCAGACCCTGGCCTGCCACCACCCACCACCGGACACAGCTGTGACTTCCTGAAACTTAGGTAGGGATTCTTCAGCCCTTAGGCTTATATGGACTGTAAAGGCACATGCCCTGGATCGTGCTTCTCTCTCAGAGGAGAGAGCTCACTGCTCCCCTACTCTGTGCCACACCAGATGGAGCGTACATGGCCTAGATGGGAGGGAGACCTGGCTCTGGGTCAATGGCAGGCACCTGAGGAAACTGGAATCCCGGAGGTAGATGAGAGCTCGGGCAGAGGGCCGCAGGCATTGATCCCGGTTCAGGAACTGCATCACCTCCATCTCTGTCACGGAGCGGCCTGGTGGGTACTGCCGGGCCTGCAGAGAGAGGGCAGAGATGGACAGGCTATGCCCCACATCCACTATCTTTCCCTGGAGAGCCCCAAGGCCTCAGTGCTCTCTCCTGTCAGCAGAGGCCATCCCTCCATTCAAATAAATGCAAGCTGTGAAACAGAGCTAACAGCTAACATGTATTGAAGGCCTGACATGTACCCTGAATTTCTGAAATTAATTTTCATTGCTATCATGCCTGTAAATATAGATGTTCTTGCTTCTCTTTAAAGAGGAGAAGTTGTTCCACCGGGTGTGGTGGCCTACACCTGTAATCCCAGCACTTGGGAGGCTGAGGCAGGAGGATTACTCGAGTCTAAGCCAGCCTGGGCTACATAGTGAAACCCTGTCTCAAAAAAAAAATTTTCACCCAAGGATAAAACAAAACTTTAAAAGATTATTAAATGTTGGGGAATGGCCTAGTAATAAAATTAGTAAATCTTTAAAAAAGAAAAAAAGAAGAGAAGTTGAGAGCAGATTAGTGAAGCCTCTTCCCAGAACACTAACCACCAGAGAAGGAGATAAGAACTCAGACCTGTGTGTGGCCAAACCTCAGCAGACCCACGCCTCAAAGGAGCCACCTCCGTGACCCTTGGTCCCTCGCAGAGTCCGCTGCTGCATGGCACTCCCAGTCTGGAGCACAGCCTGTGCAGGGCCCCAGCTCCTGACAACCTGAAGTCTTGCCCAGCCCCAGTCCCTGCCCAGCCCCTCCTCCATACTCAGTGGCCTTACCCAGCGAAAGTGAGGATGGTCAGGAAGGTTGTAGCTGGGGGGAACGTAGCCATAGCGGGAACCCAGGATCCCCACAAACAGCTGGGAGTTCTCCACCTCCCCGAGGCACACCTCCAGCTGTCTGTAGGCAAGGTTACAGGGACACATAGGGGTCACTGGGGCTCTGGGCAAGGAAGACAGGCACACAGCTGAGTGACAGGGCCCTGGCTCACAAAGCAGTGGGAAGAGAGACTGCTCCTGTTGGCAGCAAGAGACAGCTCCCTGCCCCAGTCTCCGTCTTTTACTGCACACCTGCCACTGCCTATTTGGGCTCCGCCCCAAACCCCTCTTCTCTATGTGGCCCTCCTGCCTGCACCTGTTCCTCTGGGTCTCCTCCTCGGTGACACCCCAGCGCAGGTCGATGCCATGGAGGCTGATGCGGTGGGAGGCGGCTCGGGCCTGCAGTGCTGGCAACACAGACCTCAGCAGCAGGTCCCGCTCCCCATGCATGTCCCGGAAAGTGGAGGAAATGAACAGCCTGATGCTGCACCAGCTGTGGGTAAGCAGAGGGCCAGGCTCAGCCTGCAGCTCGGGCCTCTCTCACAGCCACAGACGCAGTACAGGGTGTCTTGGGGTCCTCTGCAGAGTAAACTGCTGTGGTCTCCACTGTACAGGTCCCGCCCACCCAGCTTTCCTCTTTTTGGCATTTTCCTAGAAGAACAAAAGCATCGCAGTACAGCAAACCTGCACGCCCACCTGTAGACTGGAGGGTGTAATAGCTAAAGCGTGCAGATAGCCCAGTGCCCACCCACTGGTGACCCGAGAAAGAAGATGTGGTCGTTCTCACACAATGGAGAGGGACTCTGGCACAGAGAAGGATAAGCTTGAGAAATTTCTGGCTAAATGGGTCCACAGTGATGCTATTCTCTTATGTGAAATACAGCAGAGACACACGTGTACATACTGAATTGCTTCTATAGTGTGAGAGGCAACACATACAAAAAAGGATCAAAATGTATGAGAGATATTGTGAAATTAGGGGAAAATACTCAAATGCGAAGGGGCACTATGCAAGGGGAGAGGAAGGAAGAGAATAGGAAAAAAAGGATGAGAAAAAGAGAAAGGCAAACAAGCCTTTTATAATGAGGTGAAAGGGGGATGAAGGCAGGTAAGGGAATGCCAAAACAAGAATCAGATCATGTGAAATATAGGTACAAATTCACTATAATGAATGTGATCATTATGCATACCTAAAGTACCAATAAACCTAGTTAATAGAACAATATGCAGGTTGAGGATACAGCACAGTGGTAGAGCTCTTCCCTGGCATGTGAGTCATGTGGTCCAATCTGCAGTACTGTTCAGGTTTTTGGGGTTTTTTTGGTTTTTTTTTTTTTTTCAGTACCAGAGATCGAACTCAGCACATCGCACTGGCTTATTCTGTTGAGCTATCTCCCCGACCCAATGGTCTATGTATTGGATCCACTGGCTTATACCACTTATCTCTCACTTGTAGTGATCTTCCTGTTTGCAGCCTCCCAAGTGCTGCAATTCTCAGCATGCCCCAGAGGGCACGGCAGGTCAGGGAATCACACTCCCAACCCCTGCGTCTGCCTAAGCAGGCGCTTTAATCCACTGAGCTATTTGGCCGGCCCTCTATCGTTTTAAGAAATAAGCAATTGTCCTAAGGTTCAAGGTACCTTTTGGAAATATTAAGATTAAAAAGCCAGAAGCTAAACAAAAATAAATAAAAAACCAAAAGTTGGGCTCTTAAGTGCTCTGCCTAAACCCTGCCTCTAGGCCAATGGACCTGCTCCTTCCCTTCCCCTTTGCTACCTTCCCAGCA